GGTGCTTATTTATCAGATCAACGTGTACTTGATGGTTTACTTAAAAATTACGATCGTCTTGATAAAACTTATTTGAAAGCAGTAAAACCTACTCCATCATTAAATTGGACAACTCATGTATTTGGAAATCATTTTTCACATTTAATGACTGATGGTAGTGCTTTTATATTATTTAATCAAGCAGCAAAACTTGGAATACGATCAAAAAAATATCATGGTGATGTAAATGCAAAATATTTCACAGTTACAATATCAAACACGTAAGAAACAAAAAAAAAAGAAAGAGTTTCCATTGAAAAAAAAACATCAATAATTCTTGCTTGTTTTTATTTAATAGAAATATGGCAATTAGTTATCGAAATCTTCTTATTCGTGCTTTACTTATTTTACAACATACATATCTTAAAAATCGAACACTCATTTTACCTGCTTTTGCATCCAATTTAACTACTACTACAATTTTTTCTCAATTTGACGTGAAAAAATTTCTACTTTATTGGTCAGATGAACGTATTCGTTTACCCAATTTTCTTCTTCATGAAAAGACTCGTTCTATACCCGTAACAAATACTTCATTTTCATTAAATAAAACATATGAAGATATTAATGGAATATTAAATTTTGCTGTAGAATCAATACCAACTAATTTACCAGCACCTTCATCACAATTTGAAATATTTGTTAGAGATTCTCTTCTATGGTGTTCACCACCAATCGATGGAGGTACAGGATGGTGTATTCATCATCCAAAAGATTTCGGTGCAACAATGGAATTATTATTTGCTTGTCGAGGTGATCCATATCCACCATGTGCAAATAAAACAGAAAAGAATGAACAATTTCTTTATAGACCATTTGAATAGTAAATAGAAAATGATATGTATTTTTGATTTTTTTTTTCTCTCTCTCATTGTGGAATCAATAAAGATAGAATCGATCCATTGATCATGAAAAGATTCGTTAATCTACGTTTGAATAAGTTTGCTGTTTGATAAAATTTTTATAACTGTGCTAGAATTTATTTTTATGATTATGAAGATGAAGAATACATCTATCTAGCCTTTCAACTATCTTACGGTATAGGTGCTGTGGCTACCTGGAGGTACTTTCTTTAACCCGATATCTCCTTAAAATATTATCAGTTGTAGCACTAAAATGAAATCTGCCTGAACCCAGAGTTCTTTCGCTCAATTCTTTGAGCTCATCATATATATTACCTTAGAACCAGTATATGTCATTAGGTTATCAGTGTGCTATCAGACTGGTAATTCGAAGCAAAATATTGTTTATCACTTGCTTAAGGTCATTATATGGCTGGTGATGTCCAGGTTTAGACTAAATACCTTTGGCATATATGTTGGACAGCGTTACTATTCAACGACTGTGTTTTCATTATGACTGCCACTCTTGCAATACTCAATATTATTATACCTATCTCATAGAAAATGTCAAAAAATCAAATAAGCAAAGAAAAAAACAAGATTAATAATATCACAAAAATTATATTAACTGTGTAATTTGAAAACTTCATGATTTCCATGAAGGAACAAATTACATTTCTTACTTCAACATACGAGTTTTTTCACTAAATAGATGATGGCATAACATTTGAAGGAGTTAAATTCATTCTATAACTTTTCTTCTATTTTAATTTCAATATTATGTGTCTAAATAATCGTTGTTTGAGCTGCAAATTTGCACTACACCTAGAAGAATACAATGCAAGCATCTCATCAATGAGTAAAATCACAAGTAATAGATTTTTTGTGTTTGCATTCGGATTTGGTATCAAATGTTTCTTTTTTAATTATCTAAATTGCACAAGTTTATGTAAACCACAGTTCCCTAAAAAAAGTCACTTTTCGGTAGAAAAACTTGAAATTCGGATAAAAGCATTGAAAGATGGTCCAAGGTTTAATTTTTCATAAACGATATATTTTATTGGACACCTCGTTCTTTGTTAAAATTTGCAACGATATCCGTTACATTTTGCTTGACACATTTTTTTTCTGAAAAATCAAGAAATATTTTGCGCTTTTTTGATCGCGCTACCCACAGTGCTTCATGAACCTTCATTGTATAAATTTAACGCTTTGTTTCGGAAGAACGTGTCAAGACGCAGGGCATGATTGAGTCTCGTTTTGTTGAGTTAAGCTTTGTTACTGTTATATAAAAGAGTATTTTTATAATTAGATCGCCTTTTCTTTTTGAGACTTTTTTAAGACATTGTATTTTTCATCTTCTTTTTCCATTTAACAAGTAAGTTTTGATAAAAAATGAGACTCTCTCAAATAAAAAAAAAACTAAGCATTTATGATGAAGGTCCATAGAGAATTTAGGTTTGCCATATGAGCCAGTTTTAATACTTGTTTATTGAATATCGCTCGAAAACATCATGGTTAAGGGCTAAAAACTCTACCACAGCCTTTTCAATGTATCTCTACCATATATTTAAAGTTTCATCTAATAAGAATGCACCTAAGCAACGATTGATTTTTGAAGAGTAAAGAGTCCTTGAAGAAAGAAATGATGAAGCTGTAAACTATAACTTTTACAGTTTTAATTCATTTTCAAAATTAATAAGACATCTCTCAACGACAAAAACTGCACGTTTTGTCAATCATATGTATAACATCGAATAAGGAGTGTGGGATAAAAAGTATTTACTATCATAGAAAAACGAATGAACGATAGCACAACATAAAATTTGAGTTGAGTTCAAAGACAATAGATAAAAAATAATGCCAAAAGATTTTCAATGTATAGCTAACGATGCTTCTTTTGTAAATTAACAGGAAGAAATTTACGTACTGTTTCAGTGAATCAAAGAAAAATTTTCGTTGATCCATATATTTGTAATCCAAATATTTGTGTGGCAGAAAACTGCCTTGTTTTTAGTCTTATGCTATGCAACAAAAAATGCATCATTTTTTCTGTTGAAGAAAAAAAACAATTATTATCGTATGCAATATAAAAAATTGAATTATGATTTTGTATAAAAATTTTCGAGTGTCACAAAAAAACATATCCTTAACTTGGTGAAAATTCCGTATGTATGAGTCAATATTCGAAAGAAATTAACTTCATTCACCATTAATTTTCACTCATCGTTAGTGAAATGATAGAGAATTGTTGTAAAAACAAATAGCTCTATGAATGGTTCCTTACATTTATTTCGTTGTCGATTATTTATCATTTTTTCATTAATTGTATTGAGCAATAAACTCTCGTAGACTAACAGATGATTTGCAAAATACAATTATTGTCAGATAAACATGTATTTACAGTATGAAGAAGTCAATTCATGATAGTGTCAATATGAAAAGAAATCTTGAAATTTATACCGTTTGATCTCATGACATGTGAAATATATTCAAATATGATATAAAAGTTAAACAGTTCATTTTTCGAACGGCGTCATATTTTTTACGTTTTGTTTGTTGGAACAACAGATTTCATTACGTTCTGTTAAGTCAATTCTTTTGAATTAATTACAAGACTCAGGGCAATGAGAACGAAAATCACATATATAATTAAAACAATAAAATGTAAATACAATCAAACTTACAAAGGATACTAAAACTTAATCAATAAAAAATTTTATACTTTAAACTATGGCTTGATTAAAAATAATGACTTTGCTGATGAATTTATTTTTTGCCAAATATAGTTCATGTCAAATATTATTAACTTTCTTTTATATACTTCAACAAATGAAATTTATAAAGAGAATTTGTTTTTAATTAAATAAACCGGCTTCTCTGATGAGTTGTCAAAGACAAGAAAAAGAAATTTATTCAAGAGTATAAAACATGATGAAATATTGATCAATAGTTTATTCAGTAAGAAAAAAAGGCGGACGGCATAACTATGAGATTATCAAATATTTCAACAGCTCCCTATCGACCTCAAATTAAATCAATAAGTCAAGGAGATGTTCAATCATTTCAATTCACTAATGGATTTACTTCTTCATTCGCATCAGTTTGTTTTATTCAATAAATCATAAATTACGAGCAAATACTGATAATAAAAATAAAAATAAGTAAGTAGAACATTGATTCCTATTCGATTCTTTTTATTTTTGATGTTTTATCAAAAAAAAACTAAGTCGTCGAGCTTCTTTTTGGATTCTGGTTGTTCTTATACTAATTCTTATTGTGGGCGCTGTTATTGGCATCGTACTTGGTCTTACTCTATGTATGTATGTTTTTATTTTGCATAATAATAAAAAATAATTTATATGTCAGCATTACAAATAATAATAAACAAACACACGAACTAATGGATGAGACATAAAAGATCGCAATGAATAAAAAAAATCTCAAGTTGGATTCTATTCGATTCAATTCATACCAACAGAAAAACGGCCATTTCTTCATTGTCATAAATAAAATGTATCTACACTCCGTATAAAACTTCGTTTAGGTTTTTATGTGTCTATATGTTAAATTTATGGATTTAGAGAAATTCAGCTAGCTTCAAAGCGGAGCGATAGTACAAATTAGGACTTGAGTATTGTAAAGAGAAACATTTTTTCTTACCGATCGGTGAAGGCAGTAGTTTCTGAATTTGTATACGTAACATTGATGGGTCCGAGTCATTTGGCCGACAATCACTTGGCCGACACATCACTTGACCGACACCATTTCGCCGACAAATTGTTTGGCCGACATGTACACTTCACCGACAACTCATTTGGCCGACAAATATTTGAAGTAAAATAAAATGAAATTTCTTGAAAATATTGCGTCAGAAAATCTTTTTATCAAAGGTCACATTTATTTACAATGAAAGATTATGGGCAATGCCCCGAAGAAAATCGAACTTATCTCACGGGAAACAGTTTGTTAGCGGGAGACTTGTTTTAACTGATAAAAAATCGTCGTCTGATTTTATTTTGAAAAATGTTCACTATTTATAGGTGAATGAGTGGGAAAATTCCACGCAATCTTTTCAAGAAATTTCAATTTTTTTGATCTCAAATATTTGTCGGCCAAATGAGTTGTCGGCGAAGTGTACATGTCGGCCAAACAATTTGTCGGCGAAGTGGTGTCGGTTAAGTGATGAGTCGGCCAAGTGATTGTCGGCCAAGTGAACGCGACCCACATTGATATAGTTGTCTTCTTGGATGAAGACGCAGGTAATTATTAGGAAAAGGAATAAACTAACTTCTATTTTTAGTCAAACTTCATCTCAATTTCCTGATTGGACTGAAGTTAGTAATCTATAATCTTGTTTGAATCAATCCCGCAAGCTTTGCATTAGAAAATCTTAATATTTAGTTTTCAACAAGATTTTCTAAAATTAATTGTCATTTTAATTAGTAAATCAGAATATGTAGAACAGTCATATGATTGAAGCAGCAAACATTCACTATACCAATAGTTTAATTCAATCCATCTATCTACTAAAAGGGAATAAAACATTGACAACTCTAAATAGTAAATAACACTAGAAAACTCTAATAGATATGTGGAAAGAGAAGTAATCATGCAAACAGCTGTACATGTATCTGTTTGTCTAAAATTATCAGTTTTTAGAATAAGTCATTAGAAACTGGCTTTCTCTAATAGAAATACAAGTAACAGTCGAACTAGACTGCTTGCGCAAAGAAATTGACACAATTTGCAGTAGTACAAGACACAGAGAGCATGAACTCTATACTGCAGTGAATTTTATTATTCATTTTTACGAGCTAATGAAGATATTGCTGTTGAATTGAATAGTTCAACAATTAGATGCATTTGCAATCTCCATTGTGCATCATAAGCGGGAAAAAAATATTTTCTTCTGGTTAGTACACTTTTCAACTCATTAAAGACTTCTTTTTAGGTTCATTCGATAGACAATTTCCTGTTCTACAAAACTAATATCTTCATCTTTAAATAAGTTTCTCTATTGATTCAAAGCTTAAAAGATAAACAACTACTTAATCGTCTAACAACGATTTCTGACTTTCTACAATTATCTATCGATCTGTGTAAGTCATCGCTCATTCGGACCAGTGCTAAAACTAAAGTATTCGACATAAATTGATACAGAGTTTCGTGTTCTCTGCTTCCATAATTGTTTCAAGGCTTCCATTGCAGTTGTTCAAAAGAAAAAGGCTTTGATTCAACACTGAATAGTATTTTGAAACATATTATGGAAAACTATGTTTTCCAACGTGAGATTTGATTGACAATCATGTAATTCTGCTGGAATAAGGTTTTTTTCACATTGTTTATATTAAAAATTTTTCTCGTATATATCTTTTCTAAAATCCTAAAATATATATCAAAAGAGATACAGAATTTTGTGGAGAACTTTGTAACATATTTGAAATTTCAGAGAAACTTCGTTAAAAATTTTTTTGTTTTTTGATCGTCGCAGTTGAACGATAAAGTAGATGCTCATCTTTTAAGTTTTTTCGCCGATAAAGCAATAACTATTTGAAAAACAAAGAGGATAGTTTTGTAGAACAGGAAATTCTGTATTGAATGCGTCTAAAACGAAGTCTCTAATGTTTTAGAAAGAGCCCTACAAAGATGAAAACATTTTGCCCTATGTAGTATGCGTCATCAGTCAAATAATCTAATTAATTAGAATACTAAATTAATTTAGCTTCATCATCAAGTGCAAAAACTGTGACAACATTCCTTTCAAGTAAAGTTAATCGAAATATGTTTAATATTGCATTAAGATCAATGGTTTTCTTTCAGCGATTTTAACAACAATTTCTACAAGTTCAACGAATTCAACGTGTATGTGTATTATTAATATTTTACAGTTGATTTCACAGGGCATCGAACATTTCATAATGGTTTTTTTTCGAGCAAAAAAAAAATAAATAAATAAACATATATCCTAGTTTGACAAATTTTTTTTCCTTTCAAATATTTTCTGTTTCTTTTTAGTAACAACAGCAGCAACAACACAGATATGTGAGAAAATATTAGTTTTTTAGTATCCTTTTCTCTATTCAATTTATTTTAGCAATCGCATGTTCGAATACAAGTCATGGTGTACTTGCATTGCAAAATCAAACAACACCAACTACATGGACATCATATTCACGTTCTTTTACACCGACAAGCGCTGCACCTACACTGATATTTGGATTTCAAATTGATGGTACTAATAGCTTTTATTTAGATACTGTCTCGGTCATTGATAGTACTCTATCATCAACTCAGTTATTGACCAATCCTAATTTTGAAAATTCTACAACAACACCAACTGGTTGGATTATATCATGTGAAGCGACAACATGTGGTTCTACAGGGTGTCCCAAAAGTCCGCCGAAAAAGTAAATTCGTAGAATTCCTCAATTTATCGAACTTAATCAACCAATTTTTCTTCAGATGACAAATATCAGTGTGAAGTTTTTGTTTGTACGAACAAACTTCATAAATACTGTTCAAAGTTATGACTTTTGACTGAAACACCAAAACCAGTCCTTTTTCTACCCACTTCGTAGTGTTTCTCTTTCAATACCTCAATTTTGCGCGTTTTTTTGTAACTTTTATATCAGTCACATCTTACGCTATCATTTATATGCATTTGTTGTGATATGTCAGTGAAAAATAAGCCTAATAATATCAGGTTCCAAGATCACGAAGTTCATAAGATCGCTTTAACTTTTGAAACGGTGACTAATGGACTGAATGAGAGAAACCGATCTCATGAGCTTCAAGATCTTGGAACCTGACATTATTAGGCTTATTTTTCACTGACATATCACAACGAATGCATATAAATGATAGCGTAAGATGTGACTGATATAAAAGTTACAAAAAACGCGCGAAATTGAGGTATTGAAAGAGAAACACTACGAAGTGGGTAGAAAAAGGACTGGTTTTGGTGTTTCAGTCAAAAGTCATAACTTTGAACAGTATTTATGAAGTTTGTTTGTACAAACAAAAACTTCACACTGATATTTGTCATCTGAAAAAAAATTGGTTGATGAAGTTCGATAAATAGAGGAATTCTACGAATTTACTTTTTCGGCGGACTTTTGGGACACCCTGTAGTGCTGCTAGTATAGTAACTAACTCTCAATGTTCATCTGGATATTGTTTTGAGAGTTCTTGTTCATTTGGTCGTTCAGCTCTCATCTTTCTAAGTCAAACATTTGCAACGACAAGTGGACATTTACATACAGTCTCTTATATGTTGAAACGAACAAATATCGGCAGTAGTGGAATCATGGCTTTTTATCTTGATGTTGTCTAGCCATATAATCATGCATATGGCATATGAACTGACTATTTTTGATTGCCAATGATTGTAATAAAAAGAACAAAAATGAAATAACCATAAATACTATTGTTAATTGAAAGATCATAGAAGAATTACATTGTTTAGAAAAATATTCTTTCTTTTTTTTCTTCTCCGTAAACTGACTCGATGATTAAAGATTTTCATATTGTCTAATGTTGATTTTAATTTCAAAATAAATGCTTGTAAACTTATTTGAAAAGAGATATTTAAAAGATTCTCCTCGACTAGAATTGACGACAGCTTTTTTTTCTTATTTCAAATTTCATATTTTCACGTATGCTATTCGAAATGATATTGTTTTTCAATTTTTAGCTATTTTTATTTGTTGTCAAGATGTAATTGAAGAAGCGTCCAATAACAAGGTAAATACTGTTTATAAGTCTATTAGCATAGTATGAAAATTCATTCAGAACGTTTTCGTTAATAAAAACACGTGTGATATTAGTGAAAAAATGAAGTTTATTTCGAAACAAAACGTCAAACATGTTCAAGTTTTGAATGAGGTACAGAGTATCGCAAAAATCTGTCAAAAAAATAAAACACGTATAAATCTTGCAGAAGTCAAACAATTCCATAATTTTTTACAGTACGAGTGTTTGTTCTTTTGGATATACTCAAGTATTTATGAAAATGAAACAAGTATACGTAGTCGTATTAGACCAACAAAACAGTAGGTGTAAGCTAGATAAAAGATACTCATTGCCACTTGTATAAAACGGATGATGGTACAGTCTAATAACGAGATTGATGAAGATCAACAATCATACAAAAGACAAAGTTGATCAACTCTATGATGATTACAAAAATGAATTATGATCTAATGCTTGGTCAGATGCAGCAGCTTGCTATAAAGTCTAAAAACGACAACAAACTGAATTATGATCGAATGTGTAACATTAAAGCTTTGCTAAGTACTACTTTTTTATGAATGTCTTAATAAATATGTACAAATCTAAGGTCAAATTTTGATATTGATATTATACGATAGTAGTGATTAAAACTAATTTTCTTTCGAACGAGTTTATTTTTCATTTAAATGAATTTATTCATGATGAAATAACTATTGAAATAGAATATTGATATGTTCAATATATCAATAGTTTGGTTAAATCGATCAGACACACTGTCGTTTTTTGACAATATTTTGGTCACTCACTATAGTGAATATTGGGTAGGAAGATCGACATGACAAAATTCTATATGAGACCTTTCATAATTCTTATGTCGTCCAGTAAAATTAACATGTCATAGAAAGTGAAAAAACTGAAAAATGAAAGGTTTTCTTTTCTGGAAAACTTACCATGACTATTCTGTGTTTTACTATCTCTTTTCTACCTAACTATTGTAAAGATTTTGAATGATATTGATACCAATAGCAGATATTTTTGCTATGTATCACACAACACATTTCCATTACACACTTTGTTTGCTGATAGAAAAATGTTTTATTTCAAGAAAGAAAAATTCCATTCTTGCAGTTTTTTTCAGATTGGACTTTCGGAACAATTTTTATCTAATAGAAATGCAAACAGATTCATTAACGTCGTAGTAATAATTCTCTGTTATTAGAGAGTATAGCATGACTCGATTAGATTTGATAATATGTGCTGTTTTTATATAAAAGAAGTTTATTTCTATATAGTCGTTGAATAACAGAGATACAAAAATATTGGTCACACATTCGAATTAATTTCTTCAAGATATATTACTTTAAAATGATAACTTTTGTCATCAATAGCAATATTAACATCATCTTCTTTTTCCTATTTCAAAAACAGCAAATAGATAAATGAAATAGTTCTTTTCAATGACTAACATCTTCTTTCGGTGTTTCATTATATAAATAATTTGAATTACATAAGTTTTTAGTGTCGCGAAAACGAAAGTTCAAACTGTTTTCAGCTAGAGCATAATTTAGAATAGTACTAAGATCAGTTTTACTACTGATGTTGCCGATAATTAATGCAAGAGGTTATTTCGATCCAATGGCAAGTTTTATAGGATCTTTATTTTCATCTTTAATTTTTGGTTAGAAACCTTGACTCTGTGTTTGTGAACCAGTAACTAATTCATCGATTGATATCTGTAATGGATTTCTCAAAAGTCATCGTGTCATATATTCATGATTCTCATAAGAAATTCTATAAGCTTTATGTAAGCATCAAGTCATTTGACTTCGCTCATCGTAGCTACAAAATAGTTTAGATCTAATTTAGATCTCTCGTGAATTTTGAAAAGACCTTTAATTTCGTCATTTGCTTCTACTTGCTCAGTATTTAATTCATCTCTATTTTGCATGGTCTCTCTCAGAAGCATGATATTACAATAAAACATTAAGAAATTCACTATAATGTTTAGGACAAGTAATATAAAGATTTGTATTGCCATTAGGACTGATTTGATCACTGAAAGCGCGTGTTATGGCCTCACGAACTTTTTTCGAGTCATTCATTGTTTAAATAGCTTAAGTAGAAGTCGTTCGACTGACAAAGTGATTTAATCTGTCATTCCAAGTTTCTCAAACAGCAGCGAAACCAAAACTAGCAGTGTTCAAGTTTTTGAAAAAAAAAAGAAATTTCCATCATACACCATCTAGTATTAGAAGCCAATACCACGTAAAAAACAGTTTTTTAAAAAATACTGAAATTAATAAAATTGCTTACAAAGTGTACAGAACTATTCGTAGATAAGATAATGAAAAGCATTGGAAAATTTTGAAATCTACTAAAACATGAGAAACCATTTCTCCAAGAACTTCAGTAATTAATCATATACTAGAAAGAACTTTTTAATAATGTCGAAAATTGCCAAGACAGAAGACAGCAATATCCATATAATTTCACTAATCATTAACTTTCAACCAGGATATTTGTCATTAGTTCCTTATATTAGAAACATCGTCGAAGAAAGTTAGTAGAAAATTATCGAAAAACTACGGATAATACTAAGAGCTAAAGTCGGCGACAAAAAATGAAGCGAATTTGTTTTATTAAACTTTTGTTTCAAATGACGAGGTCCTAATCTGAGTTAAGTAGTGATATAGATAGTAAGAAAGTTCAACTAAATGGTGTAGTATCAAAGGGAACTTCATCTGTCTATATAGATTTTTCATAATTAAAATAATTTTTTTCAAGCAAAAATAAGGCAGAGTACTTTTCAATATTTCGTATTTCCTAACTGAGAAATTTGCGCTTAAATAAAAAGCAATGTAAACCAGTCGCTACAAAAACTTCACGCTCTATCTGTTTCTGAAACAAGTTTCTTTCTTTGAGTTGGTCTTCAACTCACAAATCTGATTCTAACGAGAATAGCTAAAAGAACGGAAAAAATAAAATTAATTCCTACATCTTTTCTCTGATTGCAATGCATCATACATTATTGCAAAGAATCTCTTGTTTAGAACATGCAAAATATTGGAATGTACTAAATCTCATTTGCACTCGAAAAAACTTATTTCGATTATAAGAAATCTATTTAGAGAGATGGAGTCCCTTTTGATACTACATTATGTAGTTGGCTTCTTCTACGATCTATATCACCATCACTTGAATCAGATTAGGACCTCTCCATATGGAACAAAAATTAAAAAAAACAAATTATAAGAAACGAAGTTACTGAAACTTTTGTCACCGACTGTAAGCAACGAATATCAGAAACATGACAGTTATTACCACCTAATCAAAATGAATTATTCACATAGCTTAGGCGAACACTAAAAAAATGAAAATAAATTTCCAGCTCATTTTGGAAGAAACTTTCAATAATTATTAAGAAATTACGGAAAATTCTTCAAGTTTCTGTAGTAGGGTTGTCTAATCCTACATATTTATTTGTTCAACAATATTTATCGTAGAAAAAAAATTATGAAAAATTCTGTAATCTACTGGTAACTATCGAAGATTGCTAAAAACTTGACTACAAATTTCTTTTTATGTTTTAGTATTCTCGAAGATTTCATAAAAGATTCATTTGAACACGATGGCAATCAACATTTTATCTCTGATATACTTTATTTGGCTTGTGGTGTTTT